AATAGTCATACTATCAAAAGGCGTAAAGCAAAAAATACTTCCTGGAATAAAAAAATAATAAAAAACCAGTGTAGTCAGCATATATGACTACAGGATATGAGGACCGCATATCACCATGAGATCACAGGATATAGAAATGAAGGAAAGTTAATATAATACGATATAATCATAAATTTGTTGACTTAGCAACTACGAAATGTGTTCTAAGGCACAACATAGTGATTCGGGTCTCACTCATTCAACATGGCGGACGCATTGTTCTCCGAAACTCTTGATTATTGTTGATGTCACACTAAAATGGCCAGTTTGGTTTTGTCATTATCTTATACCCTATAGAAAACGTACCCTCAAGAAAGTCAAAACAGGAATAGAGTGCAAGTCACATAAGCATGAAACAATTCTTAACTATGTAGTGCTAAATAAGATTTAGTTATCTAACTAAACTAACTAAGAATTGAGAACAATGCTAAAAAGGAATTTAAATAATTGGCATTGTAATTATGCTTTGTTGAATTCTTAGTTAGTTGATAACTAAATCTTATTTAGCAATACATATTAAGAATTGTTTCATGCTTATGTGACGTGCACTCTAAAATGGAATCTTCCCACGATAAATTAAACTGGAATACCTCCTTATAAAAGGGGTCCTCGTTGAAAATTCCGAAAACGACCCATGAGATGATGGGTGTGGCAGTGATAAAGAGGAACAACCTTGGATCTTTGATGAAAGATTCCGCATTTTTGCTTTTCACTTAATTTACACTGGAATTCAATATACAAATAAATCTTATTTACACATTTTAATTCAAAAAGACCTTACACACATATAGATGCCTTCTAAAGGCTGTTTTTCCAAATATACCAATATTATTCATTTGTATATGCAAACTCAATTTGCATTGTTAATTTGATTCCCTGGGGATTGTCCATTTAACTTTTGAGAATTTTTCTTGTGAGCAAGATTTTTTTTCTTCGTGGCTTTTGGGTAGGATATTTTTTTTCTCTTGGTGGTGTGTACGAATTTTTTATTTTTTTTTTTCTTGCATGTAATATTTTTTTTGGCTTAGGGTGGTGCAAGATTTTTTTTTCAGGTGCATATGTTGTGCACGATTTTTGGTGAAGATGGCTTGCAGGATTTTTTTTTTCCAAATCATCCCCTCAAAAGTTTAATGGTTCGTCCCTAAAGAACATCGTCTTCATCCCATCCACCCACCTAAGGAAGCCGGGTTTGAATTGCCTTTACTACAAGTTAATACTTTTCGCATTGGTCTAGGCGTGTCCCAGGCCATCGCTATCCCCATCCATTATCTCTATCTCATGAATACAAAATATCCGGGAAAGAATATTACACTGTGTCAGTTGTCTACTTAAATTACATAAACTCGCCAAGGTTACCCTGACTATTTGCGAGTTTAAACACAGTACGAGTAAGCAAACTCTAAAGCACACATTAGCGAGTCAACACACTGTTCACACGTATATAAAAGCTTGGCAAACGGTTATTTCGCGCGCCCTCTTTGTTGATGAGTGCATATCCTAAGAGAGTCATTCCAGAAATTGACAAACACCATCAAGGGTTCATTTACCAAGCCAAACTTAACATAAAGAGGAATAAATTTCCAAGACGTGACCTCAGTTTAGGAAACACACAGTTTCTTCAACAGCAAAGAGGTATATTTTTATCCGGTAGGTATGCTCGACGGAGGGCCTTTAAGGGTCGAAAATATAACCCTCGCGTACCTTTCAGGGTCCTGATCTGACCCCTTCCCTTTTAGAGTCAATTTTTCTACAGTTTGTTAAACTTGAGCTTTTCTCTTGTTAAAGACGTCCAAAATGGTCGTATCTTTTAGGGTTCTGGAATCGAAACCTGAATAAATTTATGCGTACCTTTTAGGATCATTTTTCAATCCCGTCCGTCGCGCATACCTACCAAGTTTTATAAGGGAGCCCCCCCCCCTCCCCCGGGATTTTTCTCTCTCTCTCAACAGGAATTGACTTGTACTTCATGTGCTTGAGTTTTCAGTGATGCTTTGATAATTTTGTGTTTGCAAAGTTCCAGTAAAGCCACGCCGCCTCCATCCATAAATAATACAATTGAAAAACCCATGAAGTGGGGTTATCAGAGCCTGGCGAAATAACAAATATTCATTAGTTAAATGTGGTCGTTGCCCGAAAGATGGAGGAAAAAAATAGTTTGCAAGATCTAGACAAGAATTGACTAGGAGGAGCATATTCAGGGGCAGGCCTCATAAGTAAGAGCATGCGGTAACACTGGAAAAAATCGCGCGCTTTAAAGGTTGTAAATTTGATGTAAATATGATTTAAGTGTCCAAAATTCTGTAAATTCAATGGAACATTTACATCAAATTTACAGAATGTTTGACACTTACATCATATTTACATCAAATTTACAACCTTTAAACCGCGAGATTTTTTCCAGTGTAATTAAGACCAACAGCAAGGCTGACAAGCCTAAAAAAGCCTCAAGCCTAAACCAACAGCAGCGAGTCGCACAATCAAGACATATGAGAGAAAGATATGAATATGAAGACCGCATGGCACTATGATAAACATGATATAGAAATGAAAGAAAGTTATAGTGCTTATAAGCACTATAACTTTCTTTCATTTCTATATATGAGAGAAAGAGCATGCCGCAATTAAAGTCAAGAGCAACTAGAAAGGGCGCCCAAGCCTTTTGAGCAGAAGAGCATCCCACAAGATCTGCACGAAGCGTGCAAATGAAACTACAAGATCGGGAAAAGGACTCTACAAGCAAATCCGGAAGACATAAACGGCAAGTTAGATCAACCTACCCACGCAATGGTGAAAATGGAATCGACTAGCCCCGAATTAGGTCCAAATGATGTGGAAAATGACCAAAGATAATATATCACACCTATCAGTAAAATAGTTGACTGAGTAATACGACCTGGTTATTGTTTATTAAACGGTTATATTTTGTTTTGGTTTTTGGTTCAATCTCTTCTGCAAAAAAGAAGAGCGGAGAGATAAAAGACCTAAACAAAAGAAATCAATGCACAATATCAAGGCTGATGAACTAATCCGTTGGATTTGCAAGGCTTTTTTCAATATTTCAATCATCTTTCTCATCAATCCCAGAATTCACTTCATGCGTATTCTTACTTGGTAACCAGCATATAATGAACACCACCTGGTAGAGACATGTCCATTTTTTCACCATGTATTCTTGATCATACTGCAGTCTCATCATTATACCTAAAAGGATGATGTAGGGCAATAAGAACTCATAACAACTCGGAGAAACTCTACAAAAAGGCCATGTGAACTGATCGTAATTAATTATGGTTAGCTTTCCCTGACTCACGTGCAAATCACTATGAGAATTTGTTTGTTCGACATTAATTGCTCACCTCCAGATATTTGAATTTTTCTGAATGAATTTCGAAATGAAATGTAGAAAACCTATAACAACATATATATCAGATCAGAATATTAATGTAAATGATCGTGACAAGACGTAGAAAGAAGGGAGGTTTATTCTACTTAAAACCCTTGCCTATCATTAACCTGACAATTGTCATAGTTTCCTGTCTAACTTTATTACCTCGAAAAAATGTACGTTTGAGGTCTCAGTCCATCATATAACATTTCTGAAAACAAACTTTTTTCTGCTCTTTTCGCACTCATTTCTCATTCCCTCTTGATTTCAATTGCGCAGTCCCTAAGGCAGAATCACTTACATAAGGTAAACAACGCTAGGTATTTGTATAAGAGATATATATTGAACATCGCCAAAATATTGAGAATAAAGCTTAGGATAAAAGAAGTAAGTGTGAAAAACGCTTACCATAACTGATGCAACTGAAATTACTAAACCAGCAAAGARGAGTATTTGATAAATACCAGTCCAGCTTTTCTGAAAAAAAAAACATATGTCAGAATTTATACTTGTTTTATTATCATAGTCAACTCTTCACGTATGAAGACCCTGTAATAGCGGAGAACATTTTCATAGTTTCGTTTGATAATCTGAAATTCACATTCCTGTGCGGCAAGAGTTATGGTTACATAATTCTATTTGTCGTTCCATTGCAAACACGAGTGACTTTCAAAACGTTTCTGGTGTCTCCTCCAACATCACTCGTGCTCCATTTCACACTGAAAGGGTTATCAGAAATAATGTTTTATCATCTTGATTAATGCACTGATAACTACGTATATACTTACATAAAAATTTGAACTATTGTATAGAGGTACTGASCGAAACCTATAATGTGAGAATTATAACAAATGAGTTAAAGGAACTAGCACTGATGAAGAAAAATTAATAAATGTATTCCAAAAATATCTGAAATAAATGGACAAGCGCACGAATGWTTGAATAGATAAATCAATGCATGGTTGACAGAATAAATGAATGGATATATGAATGATTTTGAAATATCACAACAAAATAAATAAATATAAAAGGGAGTGTTCTGTATCATGACAATCGTCAAAGGAAATATAGACTAGACGCTCTTGGAGCGTGAAGTCGGACTAGCTATTTTTGAATGTATATCATGACGTAGAATATTATATTTTTTACTTCTAATACATAGTGAAAGYAAGAATGCGTGACCGTTTATTCACAGCCAATTCTTCGTTTTCATGTGACGYCATCGTAAAASCAAAACYAGAAATAAACATCTTATAATAATAATTTCAAAATATGTTTTAGAAACTATTGAGATGACTAACATGAAAAAGTTTGAAGTCATTTCGTTATTTTGTGCTCAAGTTATAAGGGCCCAAAGTCTGTCACGCAAGACTGTCACGCGTTTCTTATTAGCGACAAAACTCAAAACTAATTCACCTAAGATGGAAGATTTTACCTTAGGCACGTTCAGAGTATTTATTTTTAGTATATTTCARTAAAAGATATTGAAAWATGTCGAAAAATCCATCATAATTACTCGTGACTAGGGCCTTGGCCGGGTCACGAGTCATAAAATGCAACGCGTATAGTTTTTTTTTTCCAAGTCAGAAGTTTGCCTTCGGGTCTCCCGATCGCCCTCCGATCTATCACGAAATATCACATTACGAACTCGGCTGTAAACAATCGTGTAATAGAACAGTTAACTGCCCGGGAGCTGTAGCTTTTATAGTAATTCTTTGATATTCGAGGCCTTTGGTTATTCCAAGACAGTCATCTGTGTCGAAGCATATATTATGACATTGGTTTAGGTCATCAAGGTTGGTGTATCGAGCCAAATAGTGCATTTTCCTTGGCGAGATGTAAACCGATCGTAGGCTGAGTGAAGCCGCAACGTGGCTGTTTGATTCCGAGTTGCATATAGCCTAAATTTTCAATTTGATGAGGAATTCTGTCTCTTCAGGATTAAAGAAAACAATGCTATTCACGTGGGAGTATTCCTAGATGAATATTGAAGCGATTATGGTTTTATAGAGAGCGGATAACCATCTTGTTGAGATCGTTAGCACGGCGCGAACTATCACCGACACTTCGAAAATTGTCTGATTTTCAGGATATTGTGGTTTAATACTTAACCTTTAAATTACTACAATAAGAATAMGTCTATCCATATTTTTACTYTGTTTGAYATGAAAGATTATCGGATTGAACGATTTCAGTCACGTCTGCATTCCTTGCGTGATGTTTACCGTGTAGATTTGTCATCTAGTTCCTTCAAAGCTTGATTGCAAAACGTGTCCAAGTAAAAGCTAATAAAAGGTCATGTAGTTAATACTTAGAGACTAGATGTCTGTAAGTGATATCATATCTAATACGTTTTTAATTCAAATTGTTGACCTCTCAGGCAAAGAAAATAAAAACTTTACAAGGAAAAAGATGCCTATAAAATCATTAAATTCGCCTTTCTATTTTTGATAAACAAAGTTTCTTCTTGTTCTAATTTGAAATCTTTGCCCCCACAAGACTGTCTAACACTAGACAGGATATTGATTCAGTCTTGCAAGCATACAACTCGAAACTCTATGCGATCTGCACATGCGCGTACTTCTAATGCCTAGACAGATGCATTCCGATGAGATCACAGATACCACATTTGTAAACGAATTGTTTTTTTGTCGTATAAAAGCCAAGTAGCATATAACATTTACTAACGATATTCGTACATCAATACGCTTGAGCTTCCGGTCATGTAATAACACTGCTAACACAATAGTTAATTATTAAATTCTTAACTTCCGGTGGTCCAAAYGCGACATAATACATACCAGACGAAAAGGTAAAACTAAAGTCGGACCCGCCTTCGGCTAGTCCGACTAATAAATAAGGCAAAGTTATATGATGTTGTCAAACTTTTTCGAACTTATCAGTCCATCTTAAGATATTAATTGTTAGTCCTGAAGATGAA